CAACTCCGCGTTTTTAACCCTGAAGCCAAAGCAAGACACCTTCTCGGCAGAATCTTTCTTTTTTCTAACCAATTAAAGACTTTTATTTCTTTTAGATTACTGTAATCCAGTTTAATTGGGATTACAACCCGTTTTCAACACTGACAAGGACATACAATGACTGCAGTGAAAAGGGTCATGTTTAATTTAGTGCAAAGGTGTTCAGTTTCAGTACGAAAGAGCAAGGTTATAAATCACTGCAGCCCTGACACAATCAGGCTGGAACCACTGGTGTGTGTGTGTGTGTGTGTGTGTGTGTGTGGTGGCATGGAGGATACTTATGGGTTAGAATAGTTAGATTATTCAGTATCTTGCATCATTATTCGGTATTTACATTCAGTTCAGAAACGTACTATAACTTTCATTAATATCAGACCATTAATAACTAATTGCTGTAAGGACCAACAGCCTGTCTGTCTGTCGGTCTCCTGTCTGCTGTCCTCGGATCCGACAAGGAGACGCCTTTGCAGTGGATAATAGGTGCACAGCGACCCCTGGTGGTTCCACAGTAGTACTGCAATACAAGCTTGCGATAAGCTAAACCTTTATAGATCCCATTAGGTAGAAATCCGCTGTGTTGTAACAGCATAAGAACAAAAATAAAAATAATAAAAAATAAATAAATTAGAGGTATATAAACTATAATAAGACGAGATGGAAAATTACTCACTTTACAAGAGCAATTAAAGACAAAATTACAAGGCGAAGGTGGCAGTAAAACTATTTAAACATGGTAGTGTAGCCAAACAATATGCCATAATAAAGCACATATTTGTGTAAGTGGACAGTAGTCCCTAAACACACACCCAATGTGTGTGTGTGTTTAGGGGTTAAAAAGGTGATATATTGATCCTGATCTGGAACATCAGGACGCTCTTCTTTGTCTCTTTTGCTGCTGTAAGTTGTATTATATCTTTTCTTATGTTATATTGTAATGTGGAAGTGGAGTAATATAATTGGAGTTGGCAAACATTTTTAGTTGTAAGCAACTATTCTGCAAGAACGTCATTCATATCCTGAGAATGAGTGAATGAGATCAACTGTGGCTATTGTGGGGGTTTAAACCAGTTATTCTTTGATTAGAGGACAGTCTACTCTCTGGCAAGTTCCTCAAAGGGAAAAACGCTGCCCTTCGTGTGACACCGTGATGTCACCTGAGAGTCACTTTGGCTGATTAGGCACGTTTGACATGTGAGAGTTGCTGTGAGAGTCATGAATTTAAGTGAGACCTCCTGGGAATGGATGGGTTCAGCCTGCGTGAATGTTCCACCAAAGGTCAGGTGGTCTTTGAAAGTGATGTCCCCCTACACCAGGTCGTGTTCTGTCCCTGGGGTTGGACATGTGATTCAGCTGTAGTGATTCTACACATGAATGTACACAGACATACATATCATTAGTCGTTAAGCAACACCTGGAAAACACACAAAAGGACTTATCTGATAAGTGATCAACAATGGAAATTCTGATTTCACTATTCTCTCTATTACAATATTGGATGAGGACTGACAGGGCATTATTAGACTTTTTGCTTATTGTGACAACTTAAATAACTTTAACTAATAATCATTAACTGACATTAGTCCTCATACAAGTCATTCAAATGCATTTAAAGCATTTGTTTCTTGATTGTTGCAGTTTTTTTAATGAAAACAATGACATGACCAAATTGTAAGTCAATTGTTTTAGCTGATGATTAATACCACACCTACTTGATGATCACTGTCATCATTTTGACCCTGATCTTAAACAGGAAACAAAAACACACCCTATCTGTGATTAAGGCGTGGTAGAAATCTCCATGTCTTGTTTGTTGGCTCCCTCTAGTGGTGAAAGGTGATTACTAAAATGTGGCCTTTTGTGAAAAAATGAGGAGAAAGCCAATTGTATTATATAAATTGTTAAATAAAGTATCCATTTTTATTTCATTAATTTTCCTTATAATGAATGTGAAATGTGAAATGAAAGTGTATACACATTATGTCACTGAGTGGATTATGATTAACAGAACCTCAGATCATCAGTGTGATCATCAGTGTGATCGTCAGTGTGCTTTTGTTCTGATAGAAAACTACCCCTGAACACAAAACTATGTTGCTCATAACATCTTATCACTCAGTTTCAAACTGGTCACCAAGAAGTTGGAGACCGACTTCTGTTCCTCGGGCATACAATTCAAATACTATCAGCATTAAAGGCTATGAAAATGCAAAGAGAAAGTCAGTATTCATTACTTTTTCAAAGAAAAGATAATCTCCCAGGTTTCATCAGAGCTAGGTAGGGTCAGTCGACTGGTGCACTGTCCTTCGACCTATCTCCCTCTGACAAATGCAGCAGTATGATTCTTTTATCTTTAACACGTACACACACATACCTCCACTGGCTTTACATGCTCTTTGACAGGAATGCAAATACCCCGAGGACTGAATGCATGTTAAAAAAGACTTAGACTCTCTTACATCGATAGCAGGCAAATACCAAAAGCAGGTTTGATGCTCAGAATGTGAAGCAGCTTTTGTAGAAGACCCAGTAAATCCCTGCAAGAACTTGACCCAAGACAAAGTTAGTAAA